CATGCCCTCCAGACCATCCAAAATCTATCAGAGGCTGAGATGAGCTTTAACAGGATTATTCAAGGAATTAGCCTGTGCTTTAAAGAAATGAGCCAAGATGCTGATAATTTCTCCTAAAACCCAAACTAAAACTCGGAGCGGATGCACATTCTGACTGACATGGAAGCCACCAGCCACTACTGGAAACACAAATACCCAGGAAGATATTGGTTCACTCCAATCTAGAGACTTTATGTTTGCAGAGGTGTAACTGCTGTGCATTCATCAGGGTTTTCTGAAGACTTTGGCCTTGTCTACACTGGCCAGGATATTTTAATGGCAGCCCAGACTATCCTGGTACTGCAACTTCCCCCCTTACATTGCCCTCTGTTCCTCTGCAACTAGTATCCAATGTAAATGGTCAAGTCAAGGGACACAGTGCCTGAATCAGCCAAATTATATTGCTAAGGAGACAGAGAACCCAACAAGCACCTTCTAATCCTCCTAGAAAAATACAGTAATAAGAAATAAATGGCCAACAATCTGATGCCCTTTCATAACAGCCAAAATTTACTGCCTAATATGACTATCTCATCCTGCCTCGTGGTAGAGGCAGCCCTGGCATGTAGACTCCCCCTTCTCTTTATAAGGACTAGGGGATTCCTTATACAAATACACATACATGATTAGCCCTAACTAGAATAGACTCATTGAATCAACTGGTGAATGGTCTGTCACCACTTATATAGATCATATCAATTCAGTCAATCTGCTCTAATTGGGAATGGCAATAGGATCCAGGCCAAAGTTTCCTATTCTTTCAAACAAGCATAGAACTTCATGTGACAGGTTCCCCCCTGTGTATCTCAGGGGGGAAGCACACGAGGGCGCCCGAGACGCCGCAGGACGGTGCACCGCAGGACCGTGGCATCCGCACCACAGCGTACCGTCGGTGCCTCTGAAAGGAGCGCTAAATCAGCGCTCCTTTCAGAGGTCAGTGAAAGTGCACCCCAAAAGCGTAGGGCGCACTTTCCATGACTTATCCGCCGCAGCGTCTTCCCTGCCTCGGAGACGACTCTATTAGTTGTCTGCTGAGGCCCTTAGTCACTTGGTAACTGCCTGCTCCTTTACTGTGGATGCCAAAACTGTATTTCTTTCTTTTTAATTTTTTTAAAATATTTAAAAAGTTTTCAACCTCAGTATCAATTTTTTCAAATAAAATGATATAACCAGTTGATAATGTCTAGAAAGGTCACTGTATTTCTAAATTCTGAACTGGAATTTTAAATTATTGCAATGTTAGAAATACCGTAATGAAGAAAATGAGGGAACAGAATTCATACTGGACAATGACCGAACATCCCCCCCCCCATAGCTATGCCCTAGCATACCATGAAAACACATTTATTTATAATTGCTTGCAATTCACATTGAGGAGGAAACTGGTAGTTACAGACTGGCATTCCTTTTAGAAAAAAAATGAATCATTTTAGGCTAAACATATAATGTACCTTTCTTGCAACCTCTTGGAAAAAGAAATTTCAGCACAAAAAGCTATGCTACAAACTGAAATATTTTTTCTATGCTCCTGTCATATGATTATACCATGTTTATCCATTTAAATTATTAGTAGCAGCTATCAATATTTGCAAGCGATCCTTTGTTTGTCTCACAATTAGAAGTGCAAACATAATGATATGATAGCCCCACTAAAGGTATTGTGGAAAATGCTTATCAACATTCTTTGTCATTAAAGTTTGTTCCATACAGAATGAATATAATAGGGCTCTAGATTAGCATCCTTTGCTGTCAAAAGATCCTTCTCTTCTAGGAAAGTGATCACATAGCTCTGTGGTAGACAAAACTGTAGACAGAAGGTCCTCCAACTTCAATACTTCCTATCATCTCCATGGAGAATAGAAATGAGAAAAGTGTGACATGCAGACTGGTTGGAGTCCCTAAACGCCATTTTGTATAGCTCCCAAGGGTAAATCTGTTGAACTGAGGGTGTTGTACTTTGAACATGAGAGCCAGTGTGGTGTAGTGATTTGAGTATTGGAGTACGACTCTGGATTGAATCCACACTTGTCCATGGAAACCCAACAGGTAACCTTAGGCAAATCATATGTTCTCAGCCTCAGATGAAGCAACTGTAAATCCCCTCTGAATAAATCTTGCCAAGAAAACCCCCATGATAGGGTCACTTTAGAGTCACCACAAGTTGGAAACAATTTGAAGACACACAACAACAACAAGAACAACAACAACAACAACAATCATATTGTGAGATGGCATGACTCATTGGAAAAGATGATAATGCTTGGTAAAGTGGAAGGGCCATATAGTACAGATGAACTGATTCAATCAAAGAAGCCATGGTCCTGAGTTTGCAAGACTTGAGCTGCACAGCTGATGATGGTGGTCTCTCATTCATAGGGTTGCTATAAATTGAAGGTGACATGATGATAAATAACAAACAAAACTCAAAATATCGATCTTCTGTGTCTTTTAACTTTATTGTATTTCAGTTTGTAAGCCACCTTGAGTTTCAGTTGTGAAAAAAAGGCAGGGTCTAATGAAGATCATGATAATGTTGATGTTGATGGCAATGATTATAGCAATAGCACAGTTAGCCCTCTGTATCCATGGATTCTTTATCCATGGATTCAGGCATCCACAGTTTGAAAATATTCTCTCTCTCTCTCTCTATATATATATATATATTCCAAAAAGCAGACCTTGATTTTGCCATTTTCTATAAGGGACACAATTTTATTGTTTGTTGTTGTGTGCCTTCAAGTCGTTTCCAACTTATGGTGACCCTAAGATGGACATATCATGGGTTTTTCTTGGTAAGTTTCTTCAGAGAGGGTTTGCCATTGCTCTCCTCTGAGGCTGAGAGTATGTGACTTGCCCAAGGTCACCCAGTTGGTTTTCATGGCTGAGCTGGGATGCAAACCCCAGTCTCTAGAGTCCGAGTTCAATGCACAAACCACTACACCACTCTGGCTCAGTTTTACTATACATTGTATTTATAGGACATCCATGGATTTTAGTATCCACCAGGGATCCTGGAACCAATCCCCAGTGAATACTAAGGGGCCACTGTGATAGTATTGAATTGCATCAATTGATTTCAGGAGCATGGCACCCCAAGATCCCACAATATTGTTTTGTCAGCTGCCTTTGAGTCAACTTTGACTCACGGTGACCCTATGACTGAGACACCTCCATGCTCCTCTGTCCTCAACTGCTCTGCTCAGGTCCTGGAGGCTCAGGGCCATGGTTTCCTTGATTGAGTCTATCCATCTGGTAAACAGTCTTCCTCTCTTTCTTCTGCTCCCCACCTTTCCTAGCATTACTGTCTTTTCTAGTGAGTCATGGCTTCTCATGACAGCCTCAATTTAGTCATCTTGGCTTCCAGGGAGAGTTCAGGCTTGATCTGTTAAATGACCCATTTGTTTGTTTTCTTGGCTGTCTTCTCCAACAACACATCTCAAATGAGTCAATTGTCCTTCTGTCTGTCTTCTTCACTTTCTAGCTCTCACATCCATACATAGTGACAGGAAATATGACGGCTTGGTTGATCCTAAATTTGTATTCAGTTTTATATCTTTGCCCATAATTATTTTCAGTAAATAAATACATATGACCAGGGGTTTATGTCCCTGATACTCTAAATAGGATGGACCCAGATTAAGTCCTGGGGTCCATTCATACTAAACAGTTATAGCACTATGATTCCACTTTAATTGTCATGGCTGCATTGTATGGAAGCCTAGGTTTTGTTGTTTGGAGAAAACACTAGAGCAGGGGTCGGCAACCTATGGCCCGGGGGCTGGATCCACCCCCCCGAGGCCTTTGGACCGGCCCCAGGCCAGTCCTGCCGCCGCCCTCTGCCGCCCCTGCCACTGTGCATGCTGTCATGCACACTGTTGTGCGTGTTGCCGCCACCAATTTGTTTTCCAAAATGGTGGGCGCGACTCGTTTGCACATGCGCAGTACTTGGCGCATGCGCAAATGAGTCGCGACCGCCATTTTGGAAAACAAAATGGCGTCTGTGACTCGCTCACACATGCGCAGTACACTGGAAGTACTGTGCATGCACGAGTGAGCGTGCGCACGCATGCACGAGTGAGCATGCGCACGCATGCACGAGTGAGCATGCGCACGCATGCACAGTACTTCCGGTGTATTGCGCATGCATGCACGCACGAGCAAGTGGACCACCATTCCCCCCCACTTGGCCTGCGGAAGACCTGGGGACCAGCAGACCGGCCCAGGTAAGAAAAACTTGCCGACCCCTGCACTAGAGCTTCCTGGCAGAGAATTCTAAAGACCTTTCCCTGAGCTGCAAGTTCCAGGATATCACAGGATGTTGCCATGATGTTTAAAGTGCCATAGTAGGGTGCATCTACACTGTAGACATAATGCAGCTTGACACCCCTTTAAGTGCTGAAGACCCATCCTATGGAATCCTGGGATTTTTAGTTTTACAACTTCTTTTGCCTCTTCTGCCAATAACTGTCACAACACGGCAACTTCTATGATTCTGTAAGATGGAGCCATGGAGGTTAAAGGTGGTTGTCAAACTGTATTACTTCTACAGTGTAGATGTACCCATGGTGTTATCATTGTGATGGGTGAGAATGGGTCCCTCTGGCAATTGTTGTTGTGTGACTTCAAGTCATTTTTGATTCATGGCAACTCTAAGGCAAACCTATCATGGGGTTTTCTTGGTAAGATTTGTTCTGAAGAGGTTTGCCATTGCCTTCCCCTGAGTTTGAGAACATGTGACTCGCCCAAGGACACACAGTGGGTTTCATGGCTGAGCTGGGAATTGAACCCTGATTTCCAGAGTCTAACACTCAAACCAGTACACCCACTGGCAAACCACAAATGACACCCAGAAGACTGTCCCTTTCTTTCCTTTTATTGTGCTGTAAAAACACTTCCAACTGCTGTGCAAAGGGGGACAATCCCAGGCATCATTCAGTGTCTATACAGATTTATGTGAAGCTAGCAGGGTGGCATAGTGGTTTGAGCATTGGACTACAAATCTGGAGACCCAGGTTCGAATCCTTGCTCAGGTATGCAAACCTACTGGGTGATCTTGGGCAAGCCACACTCTATCAGCCTCAAACCTCCCTTTCCCAAACAAAAAAACCTCCCTGAACAAATCTTGCCAAGAAACCCCCCATGATAAGTTCAGAGTGAGCAAATGTCCTAACCACAAAGGAGGACAAGGCAAGGTAAAATGTAGGACCTTCCAGAAAAATGTAGAACCTTACAAAAAAACAACAACAACAAAACAAAACCAACCATACTCATATGAATATAATTCCCTGTCTCTTAGCCCTGCTCCAAATGGAGGGCATTTTGGAATTCCTCCTGGAGCTGGAGAAAAGCTTGAAATGAAGGACATGTCCTGGGAAAAGGAGGACCTCTGGTCACTCTGGATAGGTCTGCCATAAGATTGCCCCAAGTAAGAAAGGACTTGAAGGCACACACACACACACACAGCCCCAAACAAATACCTCCCTCCCCTTCTTCTTTCCTCTCTTGGGCTGCACCTGCCAAGCAAGGGAAGTCAGATCTCCTCACCTCTCCTGTGATTTCCTATAGAGGGAAAGCAAAGCAAAATGAGACAGGCTGCAGGGAGTAGTGGAAAGACTTGGGGCTGATCTCCTGCCAGAAACCAGTCAGCTGCGAGCTGTCTCTGTTCCTCCCTCCCTCCTTTGCTGTCAGCTGATCCTTAGTGGAGAGAGCTTCCCTTTCACTTCCCTTTCACTTTTTCTGAGTGGATCTGAAAAACACCCAAAGCCTCCAGATCCAACAGGGCACAGTGTCTCTTCCTTTCCTCTCCCTACTCCCTTTGCAAGGACAAACAAAAACCCTTGCAAGCGACGATCGGGAGGATTTCTTCCAAAGGCTGGGTGTATGTATGTGGGGGAAAGGATGGTCTGAATGATGATCTGAAAGCCAAACCCAACAGAAGAGCCCCCGGGAGCTGTCCAACCCAGCCTCCTGCGGTTGCAAAACTGGATTGCCTGCCCTCAACTTGGGCTTCAACTCTTTCCTTTCCTCCCAGCTGGGGATGGCTTCCAATTTCAATGACATCGTGAAGCAGGGCTATGTCAAGATTCGGAGCAGGCGTTTAGGGGTAAGCATTGGGTTGAATTTTTCTCTCCCTTCCTTTGGTTGAACAGTGTTGTCTTTTGTTGTTGGTGGTGGGGGAACCTCCATAGCCTTTGCTACCCAGGATGGTTTGTGCATCGTTGCAAAAAAGTAGATATTTTCTCTCCACTGCCATGCCATGTGGGTTGTAAATATAGAAGCAGCTTTACTGTGCATTGGAAAGAACGTTTCTCATTCATGGTTGTGGGTGGATGGGAAGTAGATCCTTGTTGTGGTGTGCCTTCAAGTCCTTTCTGCCTTATGGAGATCTCAAGGCGAACCTATCTATCCATGGGGTTTTCTTGGCAAGTTTCTTCAGAGGTGAGGTTTGCCCTTGCCATCCTCAGAGGCTGAGAGAGTGTGACTTGCCCCAAGGTCATCCAGTGGGTTGCCTGGATCAGCGGGGATTTGAACCCTGGTCTCCAGAGTCATAGTCCAACACTCAAACACCCTGGTTTTATTTTATTTTATTTTAAACAACAACAACATTTGAATCAAAGAACAAAAGAATTAGTTGAAACACTAAGTATTGCCAGTATTGGAAGTTAATCATAGGAGATAAATGATAAAGATGGAATTGCTAATGTAGAATACAAATGTAAATCAAGTAGATCTATATTAATTGTCTTTATGCTTTTTAAAATGTTATATATATATATATATATATATATATATATATTAAAATTACCTTAAAACAAAACTTTGCCATATACATTCTGATTGATTATAGCATCTCCATTGATCAAAAACATTATGTTTTCACATACTGGTTTAAGCCATTTCTACCATTTATGCCTTATTCCAAACCTATATTCCTTCCATCAGTATATGACATTGGTAAGTTAATTACGTTTTGATCTTCTACAAATACTTATATCATTCTCCTACATATGCACATTGCTTAATCATTTAGCTTCATCTTTTCTCTCCACCCTTTACATTAACTTTATATCATTGAGAAAAGAAAAAAAGTATTTCTTTCTTTTCTCTAAATATTCTTAAATTCTTTACAAAACACCCTGGTTTTAAGGATCCAAAACACACTGCAGAAATAATCCAGTTTGAGACCACTTTAACTGCCTTGGCTCAATGCTAGGGAATTCTGGAAACTATAGTTTTGAGAGATATTTAGCTCTGTGTCAAAGAACTCTGGTGCCACAATAAACTACAATTCCCAGGATTCCCTGGCACTGAGCCGGGCAGTTACAGCGGTCTCAAACTGGATTATTTCTGCAATGTATTTTGGACCAATGATACATTTTCAGGGACTGGAACTAGGGTTTCAACTAGCAATCTTCTGAACACCGCAGAAGTCTTTGCCAAATAGGCATTGGTGTCTGGTAGTGACAGCAGTGAGGCAGGAGTGAGATCAGAAAAGGAATCTATAGGAACAGGATTGTTTCAAGCATTTTCCAAGGGGACTGGATGCCCACAAACTTTCCACTAATTTCAGAAGGGTAGCCAGGGAGTTTGCTCCTGATTGAAAAGTAGACTTCAGGTTTCACTTCTGTGCTCCTGTGCAGCTCTTCTCATTTCAATCAGTTTCATATAAGATAAAAAATGTTTTGGCACCTTCGAAATGTGTAGGTGGGATCCTTGGGACATTCATTCAGAAATGAAGTCAAACTCACCCACCCTCATTTCAGTTAGTTTTACCCCCATTTGTATGTGTTTGCACCCTCAAGTCACCTATCAGCTTATTGTGATTTCATTAATTCCATAGGGTTTTTTTTAGGCAAGGAGTACTTGAAGGTGGTTTTGCCAGTTCCTTCTTCTGAAATGTGTAAGCACTAGGTATTCATTGGTGGGCTCCCATCTAAGTACTAACCAGAGCTGGCCCTGCTTAGCTTCCAAAATCAGACAGGATCTGGTGCCTTTAGGGTGGTTAGGTCTGTCTGCATATATGCTCTCAAAATGATAAAGACACAGTATTTCTTATTTCAAATAAAACAATTATATAAACAATATGCATAGGACTTCAGGCAGAGGCAGTAGGTTAACTTCTATGTCAGCATGCATAGGATTGGGCTGTCATAGTGGTCTTCCCATGAGAGAGGCTAACTGTGCAAATCCTACCCAGGCGTACTCAAAATAAACTCAGTTGACTCCAGTGGGACTTAGGAGTTTATCACATGGGAAGAATCCTGTGCAAAAACGGGATTTAAACCACAAAAAAACCTTGAAAGTGGATTATCAGACGACATCTGACATTAACCCAAACAGAAAGTGAAAAATTCCCCGCAAAAGCGGATTGATTTTCAGATGATGTTGGGGTTAATGAGCATTAACGTGACATTAACCTGGACAGGAAGTCGATAAAATGCATTACTTTTTACTTTCAGAAAGTCACAAAAGTAAAAAGTGGTATTTTTGTAGACTTTCTGTCCAGCTTAATGTTGCGGTAATACTCATTAACCCCATTGTGTCTGAAAATCAACCAGCTTTTGCGGGTTTTCCCCAGGTTTTAAATCCCATTTATGCACTGGATTTGGGCACTTTTCCTACTGTGTGATACACTCCTAATTCTCAGATAAGTGTGTTCAGGATTACAGGGGTGTTCAAATGTAAATCTGATTGCATTTACTAGGTTCTAATTCCAGTTTAGATGGTACAGGATTACAACATTAATTAGCATTGGCTAAAATCATTTTGCAATGAGAACGTGAAATAAATATTGGTTGCAGCGTACAATCATTTTTTCTTACAACCTGTCTGTGTAATCAGAATGACAATTTTGGAGAATTAAAATATTAAGACATAGGCACAAAAATATTTATGAAAGAATTATTATCTTTACATGTTAGTTATTTCTTTGAAAATTTGTCACTCATCATACAGGCATATAATCGATATATATGGTCATTTCTTGTGGCATACATACAGAGATGCCCACACTATCTAAAAGCATTTGCAAACTCAACTTTTGTTGGCACAGTACCAAAATGACTCCCTCATGGATGTGTTGCTATACTTTTAAAAATCCATGGTCTTTGATGTGCTAATTGAACATGCAGATCGACTTTTAATAGCTTTAGTGTTGGAGGAAAATCAGTTATCAGCCCAGTGGAGCTTCCCTTATAGAGAAGAGCGATCTGTATATATTCACAAAGTTTTCATAATATGGTAGATGTGTCCCTAGAGTGTGTTTATTTAGGTGTTTCACTGAACCCTTGTTTCCAAACAAACTGATGCTTTAATTTACCTTTAAAAAGAAACAAAGGAATCAAACATACATAAAGGAACTGAGTAGCACCTTCAAAACTAACTGGGGACAAGACATTTCTAGCACAAGCTTTCATGGATTCAGTAAGATGCAATTTACCTTGTTTTGCTTATCATTTTATGTTCCAGCAATTATTTTATTTATTTGCAATCACTAAATTTTTATTCTAGGTCCATGGTGGTTTACACGGTACATTATTGTCTGTCTGTCTGTGCATACATATACTCTAAGACTGAGTCCTGGGAGTCCTGGGTTCAAGCTTCACTTTGGATGAGCTTACTTACTTGATAGATTCTTGCAATTCAGTACATCACCATATCCCTCCTTCATTTTTCCATCTGTAGAATGAGATCACCACTCTCTTGTGTTGAATATGCATAGAGGGACTTATCTTAGAATTAGCTCCTTCATGCAATACATAGTTACAGTATGGGATGCCATACTTGTAGAGGTGATCTGAAAGATGTGGTGAGATCCATAGATAAACTGCTCCCAACAGTACTGTAGAAGTTGGAATGATGAAATTTTGTGGGAAAGTAAGGAATAAAGTTTGTTAAAACTAATTTGTTGATTAAAAGTCTCATAGAGATTATACATTGTGATTATTGTTAAAAAATACTAAAAAAAATCATATTAAATTATCACAACTTCCACCATAGATCTGTTTTCTTTTGTCAGGGTCATGGTTCAGGT